AAAGCATGTTTAAAACTCACATAAGAGACACTATTACATTTAATATGGATATGATTAATTAATCAGTACCCGACAGCCATTAACACTATGATGTAATTCAACAGCAACATGTTTTAGTAAACTCCATGCACGTTTCCATCCCCATTAGTTTATGTTTTGATGACTTGCTGTAACATTATCATGCAGGGATTTGAAGGCATACAACGTTTTTACCAGTGATTAAACAATCTAACACAGCCTCAAAATCGCCATTGCCAAATGCACCAGACTCCATTCAAATAAACAGCAATTTTAGCATGAATAGAGTCAGCATATTTTCACATTACCTGAGTGAATTTCAGGTTTGTTTCAAACAAACCAGAGTGGGTGGTTGTTACAAGAGTGGGAAGATGAACCAAGATGGTTTTGTCAGTTTTATTTTGTGTCTGTCAACTTTCAATGAAGTGTGTTAAACAACGATTAAATTGCCATTTATTTGAATGGAGTCTGGTTGGTTTGATGGCAGTAATTTTGGGGCTGTTTCTGGTTAAACAAAGAAGGAGCTTACTCTCCAGCAAGAATGTCTGTCTCTGTATTGATCCTTTTAATAATCTTGTCAGACATTTATAACAATCTGAGCCTGTTGAGGCCAAAACAGGCACTTTTGGTAAATGTAAACTGACGATGCAAACATGCCCTGATATTAACATTGCAGCCTGGCCGCTGCTCTCGCTCAATAATGGACCAATTCCAAAACCTGTTGTTCCCATTAATCACTTAGACACAAAACTGAAAAATAAGGGTCCTGGCTGAATTTGATTTAATTTCCTTTACTGGTAACATACTATTGTTAGCTTTCATATTTTTTGGGAGCATTACACTCAAGTATTTCACTCAAAAGAAAAATAACAAACTATCTGGCTTGTGCTGAACTTACAACAAAGCCAAGGCTGCACTTTTGGACACCCAAAACAAACTCTCTCTGGGTCAGAGACAGGAAGCAGATGGCCTTCCTTCACTCTCCATGTGGGATCATATACCCTCCATAAGCCCATTAACACCTATGATACAGTAGCCACACCGCCGTGCGGTGCATTAAACCAAGGTTGCACATCTTTAATTCGGCTGATCATTGTTTTCTCTTCTGACGAACACAAACAAAGCCACAACGAGGCTGCGTAGAGCCATTAGTTGTAAATTGCCAAGAACAGTGTGAAAATCCAGTTGAAACCATGTGGTTTTAAACTGCCTCCTCCTCGCCATGTTTTTGGAATCACTTCCAGCTGCTCCACAGCCACTAATGGCACCTTGGGCCCACATTGCCGTTTTAACACCGGCCAAGTCTCAGCCCCCTCCTGCCCGCTAGAAGCTGAGGAGGTTTTCAACTACTGTTGAACAAATGATTTTAGCCCGTATTACGAGCAATAAAAAGGCGCCCTGCTGAGCGGCCTGAACGTTGCGTTCATGTACATGACCAGATCCTACAATATTCTAACAGTAGCCTAAGTGGTTTATTGTCAGGGTTTAAGGAAATCCAAAAAGACATACTGTATAATCAAATGAAAGTCTTTAGATACACTTTTAGAAAAATAAATGTACAATACTCAGTTTAATATTCAATACCTACAGCTACAGTTAATCACATCACTCAGCCTCCTTTTTTGTGCACAATTTTTATTATTCTTCAAATGCACTGCACAGAGGTCTATATAATCCAAGGCCAGTGGGACCAAATGTGAGACATCCACCCCACCCCCACCCTGATTTTTTAAATGTGCAAACTCATATCCTACTATATTATATTATATATCATAGGCAAGAAAGCTATACAGTATATTATGCAATAAATGAAAGCTTCTATAGTCTATATAAATCACACATGCTGTGCACCATAAAATATTGACACTTACGTGTATGAGGCTACGGCAACACCACTTGGACAAACTACATACAGAACTGTAAACAAGAACCTCTAAATAATTATAATGGCAATTTTTTAATGTTATTTATGATTATAATTACATTGGCTAATGGATATTTTGGACAGTGGTGCGTGGTTGCCTGTCGTAGAATAGCACCTTTTTTTTTCAAATTATATTTTATAATTGCTGCCTCAATATAACAGACTGAACAGAAAGAAAGCACATAAAGAAAAGTACAAAGACATCTTTGTAGAGGTGCTGCTTTGCGTGTAACAGCTATAACAGCATGTTCAGTTTAGTCCTGTTTACCAACAACAACACAACCGCCTCTGTTCAGTTCTGAACATGTACACAGCTGCACACACAATCTATGCCAAAGCACAGTAAAGATGTTCGGTCAGTTAACAATGATTAGACGCCCAATGTTTGTCTGTGTGTGTCCAGTGTGAGCAGTTAACAACTGCAACACATCTGCAGGTCTGGAACAATAAGGGGTCTTCATATGGATGGCCAGACAGTTTGGAGAAGCAATTGAGCGGTGTGAAAGGATTCTTTGACAGGTATAATCTCAGCGGTGATCAAAGACAGAGACTGCAGTTTGAGGGACAACCTCAGTAACCATTATGCAAAATGAACACATCCCAAACACAAATACGTGTGAGATGGCCTGGGGGAATATTTAAATGCATGTCATGGCAGGGACTTTAGTTTTGAGCTTGTGTTTATGTTAAAGGGAGCTCACTCAGTCTGTTGGAGGCTATCAGTGACATCATCTGAGAGGGAGGACTCTTGCTGATAACCCCTGACCCCACGCACGACCGTCAGTTATAGAAACAGCCAAGGTTTACAAGAGAGTGTGTGTGTGTGTGTGTGTGTGTGTGGGGGGGGGGGGGGGGTGGTAACACACTCAAACATGCAGCACTGAGGAACAAAAACACAACCAGTGGCCAGAAATATAGAAACAATTTAAAGCTTAAAAACTGTGTCAAAGAGGGTTTAACTAAAGTCGGTGGTGTTTCTTCAGGATGTACTTTACAGTAGTTGGATTGCATATTATTGAAAGATGTTTCAAATATTTACTTTCTCCATGTATGTAAATGGGAGTAAGTCTCATCAATCATCTAAAATTATAACAAGATTGTGTTCATTTTAGTCATTTTCTCTTGTGTATTGTTTGTAATTATGCCAAGGATTCCCTAGATAAAAGTGACATACATGTGTCTGATGAAAGTCATATATCAAACGTGTAATAATTTTGGTTCTCTGTGTAGAATATAAATATATAAATGCACTTTATACTGATATTTTCTGCATTGTTTCAGTTATTATGCTGCCTACTCTATGAATTCAGTGTGTATTACCTTGAAACCTGCAACAGAGACTGCATGTGTGCATACATACATACATGTATGTATTCATATGTTCATGTGTCAATTGACTGCTTATGAACCATGTTGGCTGGTCAGATGGCCAATTAGTGCTTGAACCTTTTCGCTCTAGCCCGAGAACAGCGGAGCAGGGCACATCTGGTGTCAATACATCTTAATAACCTATTGTAATTCTCCTTTTCCTGGACTGAACATGCTAGGACACAGGCCCATTTAAAAACTTGTCAAGCGTCGTGAGTGTACCTGTTTGAATGGAGCCAGATTGCCATCACTAGATCAGCACGGGTACTGCAGGAGAGGAACACTTTCTACAGCAGGGCAGTAAAACTGAGAGTCAATTTTTAATTGTAGTTAAAATCACACCTCTTGTGGAAAGAAAGGGAGATATTTTGATGGTGTTAAACTCAATCAGAAAGGGTTTTATGCATTCACACACTCACTGGCACACTAAGCATGGATACTAATCAAAGGTCTAAATTGTTCAATACAAGCCAATATATCACACTGCGTGCTGAGCGTTTGTGTGTCCTCTATTGTTGATACAGATTATAAAGTTTTTACAACACTGCATTTAACTCACCCCTGAAAAACAGAATTAAACCTGTGCACCAATGCTGGAAAATGCAATTAAAATGTATGCTAGAAATGTTGTTTCAGTGTATATCAATTTATGTCAGGCACTTTGAGTTGCCTTTTACAAAAAAAAAAAGGATCATTTCTTCAGTTGGTTTGATGGCTGGATAAAGGTGAGTGTTTGGCACCTTAGGCTTGTAGATGAAAGCGAGGACACGCTGTGGTGTTACAGTTTAGCCTCAAGGCCCCAATGTCCTACATTCTTTCTGTCTGTCTCACACATTCCTGCAACTAGAACAATACAGCTAAGGTTAATTCCCAATCATACTAGACATGTTCTGCATTTGTTTTGTTTCTGAGAGGTGTTTTAATTGCTGCTTTAACAATGCCATTAGTTTCTGCTGGGCGCACAGTGCTCGCTTTGCACAGATCATTATTTTCTCCATCGAAAAGCTAAGAGAAATAACAATAGCTAAATGTGCAGCCAATACTTTCATCAAGGTTAACTTTAACAGATGTTTGGGGGGAAATAAGCGGAATACTTTCTGTCAGTGAATGCCTTTGGAATTTCAAGGTCCATGGAAAATAAAGATTAAAACATCAGATACACAAAGGAAAGCTTTTCCGTGTAAGTACCTGTGTCTTATTTAATAGTTAGACAACAACGGGGTAATGCTGCAGGGAATGGATTGGAGGATACAGTCTTTAGGGAGCTTAGAGAGCAAATCTATCCAACATGCAATTTACTGATCTGACTTTTGGCTGGCCAGTATGTTATGAAACTAGACAAATGTCTTGATCTGTCAAACATACTTATTTTACGCAACCAAAACTATATAGTTTACGTGTCCTAGCTCGGCTGTCTGGGATGTGACAGAGCATAATGTATGAATTTCAACAGCCCTGGCAAAAACCAAATGAGCCATTTATAGTATCAAAGAGCAAATATTGACGTCAAAGATGCAAAAAATTGGCGGATGCCAGTGGTAACGCCTGGGCAGAAATGAAAGTGGTTTACACATGAGCAGCAAAGACAAAAAAAAAAGACCACAGTCATTCTGTGACACTGCCTATTACTGGCTCCTGCTGAGCCCTACAGGGCAGAGCACAGGGAGGAGTTCCCCAGAGGACAGATTACCTCATGCTGTCCCATGCTGTCACAGCAGGCATGCCATCATCCCCTGGCGTCCTCCATCTTCCTCAGGATGATGTGATGATTAGGAAGGCTGACGTCTCTGGGATCAGACCGGCATCCAAAGTCATGCTGCAGACCACTGGGTGAGGGAGATGCTGTGTCAGTATACCACTGGCTGTTTCCATAGCAAAAGCAGAGCAAATGCTGTGTATCGCTGTGTTGCTGTGGCTATGTTGGTGTCAGATGCAGTGGCCTGAAATCACCCTCTGACTGCAGCATGAAGGGTTGTGCAAGAGTGGTGAAAAATACTCATGTCTGATCAAACATGGCTTTATTATTTTTCATTTAGACCACTGGCCTGTACAGCAAAGCCTAAATGCTATTTATAGCCATAAATAGCACTGGATCTTAGACTAACGAGCAAAGAGCCACGGACCACAATCTGCGCAGAATAAAGCTCAAGTTGCTTTTTCTGTGAGCTCAGCCAGTGCAGTAGATAATATGGCTGGCTATTCCAAAACCACAAGTTTCAGCCATATTACAAAAATCCGCTGAAAACTCAAAGCGCCTTGTGGCTGACACGAAGGAAGTCGAGCTGGCTTTCCCAGTAGCCACCAGCCGTCGTCACAGCTCACTGACTTATATTGTTTAGGTGACACACAACGTGACACAACCAAGACTATAGTGCCTTCACCTTAGGGAGCTGAATCTAGCTGGCATACTGGCTCACTACATTGAAACCCTAAGGAGCTGCAGTGCCGACAGACTCACAAAAAATAAAGGGAGGAATACGGGGCTTCCTCCCCCCAGAGAATAACCCCACCACCCCACCATTAGCATACACATATACACAAATACTCCCCGCAGCTGCTGAACATGTGCATTTCCATCCAGCTCAGCTATATACATGGAGACGGTGACACATTCACACCTGTTAGCACCGGCAGCACCGGCCAGCTCTGACTGACAGCTTCCCTCTGGCCATCATCACCTCTCAATCGCAGGAGAACTGTCCAAGCAAACAGTCCATCAGCAGCGCGTCGGAAGTCTCTGCCGTACAGCATTAGTATCAACAACCTTTCCACATCTCTGCTGATTACTGGACAAAGGCTCTGAAAAAACAAGAGAAAATGTCTTTTTGGTTTGTTAATAGAAGCTCGCTTACTGGAATATGAGCCACCAGGTGGGAATAACTAAGTGTGTGTGTGTAATAAGACACAAATTACTGCTGTTTTGTGTTTCTGTATGTGTGTGTGTGCTGCCTGTGTGGTACTATTATGCTGTTTGTATCAAGGGTAGAACCAGTAAGTTAGTGCTATCTAATTTGTGGCCTTGAACATTAAAAGGAGGCATGTTGGCAGCTGCTCTCTTTTTATCCAGTTTTATCTTATAGATTTTACAAGAACAGATAAAGAAAACTGACTACAAAAGATTACTTTAAGTCAAGAGTATCTTTAGCTCCTGTACTTTGTTGTATTTCCCAGAATAAAGGAATATTTAATTGGTGTATGGTTACAAGAGGTAATTGAATCAAATCTTTTGCATTTGATTGGACAGCTAAAAAGTGGGCAGGCTTAGAGTTTAGCACAATACCAGCCATAGACTGCATAAAATAATGGATGAAGCTACCCCAACATCACCCGTGTTCTGTGGACTGCCATTTTGAAGCCTTGAGTTGGGTATTTCAGCCGTCGCCATCTTGGTTTTTTAGAGCCAGACGTGACCATATTTGGACAAGACGGTGGAGCTGTGGAAGAGCAAGAGGTGGATCTGACTCACACATTGTTGCAACCCCTTGCAGACAGCTTGTCACTCAACTGACCCCACCCTTTAATATGCACAAATTTGGGCTTTAGTAAAATATAAAAATGTAAAGTCATAAAAAAATTCACCCCCTTGTACAGTTGTCATGAATGTTGAAATTAGTTATAGACACCAAAACTATTTTTGTACCCAGCTGGAAACATGTTTATTTCTGCTCTAAAATTGGGCATTTCAACATGGGTGTCTATGAGGATTGACTCGCTCTTGGAGGCAGCCTCAAGTGGCCATTAGAGGAACTGCAGTTTTTGGCACTTCTGCACTGGCTTCATGTTTTTAGCCTCTGAGGTTGTGGACTGCAGACTGCTGGCTCCACACACACACCCCTCAGCGTGAGATCAGGAGGAGGAAGATGGGAGAGACGAATGAATGAATGAATTAGACCTCAGCCACATTGGTTTGATCATTAAAAAGAGGGTGCATCATAACAGTGAGGCCCAAAGGTGTTAAGCTAACAGGATAGTGGGCGAATATCTGTCAGAGACAAAGCACATCGTAGGTTTCATGAAGGTTAGTTGCTGAAGCAGTCCATTCTAAAATGCCTTACACATAATCTGGTCCTGTCACAGATACCACTTTCCTCAAAGTGAATACATTTTAGCCTGCGCCCTGTAACCATGGTATTTTGGGAAAATGAAAACACATTGATGAAGCATGCTGTTGCTACCCCGCTAACTAACTGTGTGGCTAAAAATTGCAGACTAATTGCTGGGAGGATGTCATGATATTATTGGCTGAAATTGGCACAGGCTTACGTAAGCACACATCATATTTTGTTTTACAGGAAGAAAACATGATTGGATTTGACACAAGATAATGAAATTGTTTTTTGTAATATTTTGGGCATAGATTGTTAAATATGTGCAAATAAATGTCCGGGGATGTGATCTGAAAGGGTTAAAAAGGCATTTTTTCTTTACCTTACAGTGTGAGAAGACTCAAGAAATTCAAGACAGGGAAGGTTTTTACACACACACAAAAAGAGATATATACTTTTTTAAAACATATTTCTGGTGTGTGTTCCACAAATTTAAGGTACTCAGCATTGGTGTCTAAGAAAAAAGCTATTTAAAGAATCTATGATCATTGACAAAAAGAATTTTATTTTTTCTCAAAACAGCCAAACAATATTTTTTCTGCTGCTCACACCAGAGTCATACATATACTCTTTGTTTGTTATCATATGTTTTGCAGAAACTCAACAGAGCTGTGAGGTTTATTTAATGTGCTGAGAGGAATGGGCCCTGTCAGCGATAACAAATGGGGAGATAAACTGTCTGTTATCATGGATGAAGATCATAAGAAGTGCAGAGAGGAGATGTATAGGTATGGAAAGATATAAATCTCCGATAGCTCCTCTGAACTCAGAGGAGCGTCCCATATGGGAACACTCTGTTGAAGATCTTAAGGTTTTTTTATATTCAAATGACAGATTTACATGTTTGCAAGGTGGAGACAGATCAACAGAATATCCTTTTTCTGCACTGAGGGCCATGGTGGACATTAATCTTATACGCATGAGAAATGACCCTGCCCCTGTCTCTCTGTGTCTATCCTCATGGCAGGTGATTAAATGGCAGCGCTTGCTCCGTAGTGAGGGACATGGTGTGTTTTAAACACCTATCAAGCATGACCTTTGATCCCTCACTGTCTGCTTATCTGCACTGAAGACCTTCAGATGGATGAGTCCAAAGGGAGGATGAAGGCTGTGTGTTAAAGTCATCACACGATGACGTAAAGCAGGCGCACGCTGAGGCTTTTCCACAAGTTCAAAAGGAAATTAAATACTTACTTGATTTTTGTTTCACATTTTCCCCTCAGCAGCCCCCTTCCCTTCCATCCTGCCCATTGCCAGATTTATTCATGTTGTTCTTTAGATCATCTGCATAATGTATGTCAGAGATTTACATGGCTGACCAGATTTTTGTTCAAAGTCAAGGTCTGACATGGTAAGCCTGACTCAGAGAGCTGCTGAGTAACCTTAGTTTGACTCAGAGGATTAAAAAAGGATGTGTCTAAATGTCCTTTTGAAGACAAACTGCTCGTCCCCTCCCTCTGGAATCTTAAACTCAAGTCTCACAAACTTTGACGGCAGATATATCATACGCTGATAAACTGAAATTACATCTGATAGTCATAACCAATGATGTGGAACCTTACTGGGCTACGCAGTATGGTATAGATGTTGTATTTTCTTCTGGATATCACAAAATGTCTGCAGTCAGTCAGTGTTCTTCTTCTTCACCACAACCCATGAATCAGATCGAAAACTCGCTCCTCTACAGCTCCACCCCCTTGCCCAAATATGGTCACTTCTAGCACATAAAATCCAAGATGACGACAGCCGAAACACTAAAAATCAAGGCTTTAAAATGACAGTGTTCCAAATCAATTTCCAATGTAAGTACTGGCTGTTGGACTATAAGTATTTCTTATTCGTACAATGCCACTTCAAGGGTACGCAGGTGCATGGTAATCCATAAGTGTGTTTTTTACTTTTAAGATTTTAACCTTAATATGTGCACTGGCTTTAATTAATCACACAACAATTAATCCCCATTGAAACGTCTTCATTCCTCTTAAACAACAAGTTGTCTTCCGCAGGCTGAGCTGACCTTGGTTATCTCACAGTTAGGAAACAGTTGTGTGATATCTACGTGGGCGGGAGGTCATCCTAGGTTATCACCTGTTCCTCCTCCAACACTGCTCATCCTCTCTACCTTGAGGAGTTTAACAGTTTGCACAGAGCCGTGGCACGACTGATAAAGTCTATTCAATTAATCAGAGGGGATAAAGACACAAACTGCAATATGACCTGCGCTTCTGTCTGCTTCGGGAAAATAATTCACAACTCTGACATGCTAGTTTAGCGTGTCAAATACATAATACCTAGTTGCAGAAACGAGTTTTCAAACCTCTGGCTTGAGCTACGTACGCACACTTCATGTATGGTATCTTCTGTTTTCATGAGCTTATCACTGTTATCCACCTCTTAGCTGAGTCTGAAACCCTGAGGTCAAGAGACTACCACGATCCTTCCTCCCCTTTATGAAGAGTTTGAGTGTATTCTGACGTCTCATAGCTGTTCTCCCTCTGTATCACAGCGTGACTCCTCTCACACCACGTAATGCTACAGCACAGAGAGCTGCACTGCTTTAACCGACTCACTCCTTCCATCATCATGATTTTAAAAGTGCATAGAGTGCAAACACATATACCCTCATTGTGTCTATTGGTTGATGGGCCCAGCTGCTTGTGGCCAGTAATTCAGCCATTAGTCCTTCATTGGCTAACAGCCCACATCACC